GTGGGTTTCAGAGTGCTTGCTGAAGAGTGATTCAAACTATCCAGAGTCAAAGCCCTCCATGCTTTTCATATCCATTCCTGGCTGTTTTTTTTTTTTTTTTTTTTTTTTTTCATGCCAGCTTACCATTTCTGTACTGGCTTCTCTAAGGATGTGTTATGAAATGATCTCCTACCTCACTAGGCTTTATAAAACACCCACACACTGTTGTATAACTCGGCTCAAAGAAGTTTTTAAATGTCGTCTTGTGCTGTTTTTGCAGTTGGCAAAAATAAAAAAAATAACGAGGCAAGAAGATCGATCAGCCAGAACATTATGACCACTGCAGCACATGACGTGAAGCAAGATAACTTTCCTCCAGTATCATTCCATAGAAGAAAACATAGAGAAACAGAATAATATCATAAGGGAACGCATAAACTCAACTTGTCCTCACTTTAATGACTTGTTGTGTCGTTGTATCTTTTTTTCCCTCTCCTGTGCAGTGATGGCTGGGCGGACAGGTATGACGTRACCGATGGCTATCAGAGGGAGGCAGCTGGTGGAATCACTATAAAGCTAAAGTCAGCTTATGTGACCTGGTTTGATGATTATTACCTGAAGCTGACGCCCGATTCCAACYTGAGGAACCCTTGGTTTCCTGAGTTCTGGCAGCACCGTTTCCAGTGCAGGTTGAGGGGTCATCCGCAGGAGAACACAAAGTACAACCGCACTTGCACATGTTAGTACAACAAAGAGCATGTTCCTTACACCCACAGTTTTAYTTTGCCATTGTGTAAGCAAACCCTGAAAGAGCATCTAGTGTTTGCACACGTTAGACTGATCTTTTTAAGCAGGATTCTGTTCACCACAGGGAGAGAGTCTCTGCGCCATCAATATGCTCAAGACACCAAAATGGGTTTTGTTATAAATGCCATTTATTCCATGGCTTATGGTCTACACGCCATGCAGCAAGTTCTCTGTCCAGGATTYAAGGTATGATGCTCATCCATTTGCTTCCACCTTTGGATGGGACAGCATTGACAGTGTTTGCACTTCTACAGGGTTTATGTCAAARCATGCGACCCATTGATGGCCGCAAGCTGCTGGATTTCTTAATGAGAACCAACTTCACAGGCGTGTCTGGAGAGAAAATCCACTTTGACCAGAATGGAGACTCACCTGGCAGGTCAGGATTTAAAAAATAAAATAAGAAAMTGGGGGAGAGGCACTAAAAGTACAYGTTAAACGTGGCAACATGTGTGCTTCAGGTATGAAATAATGAACTTCAAGCAGACTGGCGAGGACCACTTYGCTTACATCCACGTGGGAAGCTGGGATCAGGGCGGCTTGAAGATGAACGACGAGGAAATCTGGACCAACAACAGTGACGTGATCCAGTCAGTTTGCTCGGAGCCMTGCAAAAAGGCACAGATCAAGGTATTCATATTTTTCTTTGTTACAGTAATCGCTAAAAACGTTGTTTTGTTTCATTTTCACCCTAGAAGACGATCCACTTCAAAAGGTGCACACAGCCCAGCTTAAACATGCTGTGGTTTTGGATTCATCCTTCACGAATAATATAAGGAAATCTGTCATGTTCAGCCCACACACAAGCTTTCAACTGATCCCACCGGTCCAGTGTTAATAAAAGCAGCTATCAAATACACCACGAGAGATTTAATTCATCTTAATGTCTTAATGCTTGAATCATTTCCCATCTGGCTTTATKTTGATCCCTAAATCACATGTTTGTCATGAATAATGTTCTTCCTCTCCTATCCCCGGAGTCTCTTCATTAACATCAAACCTTTCATAAATAGTCAGTGCTGGCGTTCATTGATGGGTACAAAAGGAAAATCGCTGAACTGTATTTTACATTGTTTGGAAAAGTTTGTGTTTCTTCTAACACAAGCCACATTCTGACCTGTTCTGATCTCAACGGTTCCTGTTCTGTCGAATCACAACGAAGAAGAGTTACTTCCTGTTTCTTGCAGCATCATATTGACAGTGCATTACAGCGAAAAAACAAACTTCCCTTTATTTATTTTTTATTTTTTTGTTTTTTTCAGTTTCGGCACCTGTTCCCTTTTTGAGTCAAATTTGAAGTCTTACCCATTTCGCTGGCAGTCAGAAAGTTTGCATTCTACTCCCTGTCACTCACTGCCAGTCAGTGTAAAAATTAATGTTTAAAGTCAGTTTCCTGGGGAAGGAAAAGTGTTTAAGGTTTCTACACTGAATCAACTTCATGTTATGTAATCAACTGGTACTATAATGCTTTTTCTTTATAAATAATTATTTGCTGAAAGTTTGCAGGGCCTTTTTATTTTAAACAAGACAACTCAATAACCTTCCATACATTGTCTTTTTTTTATCCCATGATGAATAAATGTTAATTTCCTAGCTCTACAGAGCAGTCAGAGTGTAAGATTAGCTACAGAAAAGTGCCACCAGAGCTTTGAGACCTTCCTGCCCTTTCAAACAGTATGTGTCCCTGTCTGTGTCTCCAGGTGATCCGCAAGGGAGAGGTGAGCTGCTGTTGGACTTGTACTCCCTGCAAAGAGAATGAGTTCGTGTTTGACGAGTACACTTGTCGCGCTTGTATCCTGGGTTCCTGGCCCACATACGACCTCACTGGTGAACAAACACTCCAAACAGATTAACATTTGATTCACAAATTCATGGTATTTTTATGTTTGCATTATTATTTTTATTAACCTTTTGTTTTAACCAGGCAAATCCCGGTGAGATCACAAATCTCTYTTTTTAAGGGAGGCCTGAGCCTGAAGGCAGCGTAAGCATGCATGTTTTGGATGGTGGGAGGAAACCGGTGTACCTGGAGAAAACCCACGCAAAAATGAAGAGAGCATGTTACATTAAATAGAAAGATTCTAGTTCCAACGTAGGACTTGAACCTATCACTGTAAAAAATAACTTGTAAGATTTACTTGAGAAAATCCTGTAAACGATTTGCACTAACGTTTGGTGAGTTAATTTAAATGCTACAAATTCATGTAATATTTACTCTCATCATTATCTAGTAAAAGTTATTAAGAATATAGTTTAAGATTTGAGAATAAATCAGGTAAA